TATATATACATATATAAATATCATAAAAGTGAGCTAGCGACCTACTTACGGCATACCAATCAAGATAACCATCTACATCTAAACAGCTACATAAACAATAGTATTTTAAAAATTCATTGGAAAAAATTTCGTAGATGGGAGAATCGAACTCCCATTTTTGCTGATTCGTTTTACCGTCACCACAAAGCAATGTTCTGCCATTGAACTAATCCATTACAAGTTGAGTTTATGTTGTAATTGTTAAATTTATAAAAGTGAAATAACGAAATCTCGCTGCCATTTTTTCATTTCTGGCTTCAATTTCGTCGGAGAGGTTTTGGGAAAATTGAAGGAAAGTTAAGATTGTCGAACTGCCGCGAGAAGCTTGAGGCGAGTGATGTAACGATGGAAGACATACGGTATGTTAGTTCACGTCGATTGATACAGAATACCTCTACCATTGGGTGAGAACTAAAACCTGCCTGCCATTGCGTGTAATAATGCTGGCCCACACTCGTAGTGGTAATCTGGGCTGAGTCAGTCTAAGGTATTTGGAGCGTGATACCAAGAAGGGTGAGGTTGTCGTCCGCAATTATGTTTCGAAGCGAAGTTGGAGGCTGCCCGATACCGCACTAGGGCCCACCAGAATACGCCTTATTAGGAAACTGATACAAGCAAAGTGGCTGGACGTAAAAGTCTTATCTCCGGGGCACACAGGACAGAGGCATCCACCAGTGCAATAGTCAAGCAATTTGAACATGAACGTGTTGGTTGTTATCATGGCACAAAGATGGATTGGGGTGTGTTCACGGCAATGGGTAAACTATCATGGGAGGGCATGCCCCGGTCCGTGATGGGAAGTTATCCTCTTATAAGTCGATTGAAGTATTGGCGGCGAGCGTTGCCTGCTCTCTCCTTAGTTGCGAGACGTTGAGCGGTATCATATCGGACCTGCTCGTGGAGTTTACGAAGTTCTTGTGTTGAGGTGTGCGCCCGCCCTTTGATTCGAGATTTTTGTTTGGAGGTCTGTTACGTGTCCAAGCGGATCTCACGTAAGTGGGGCGAGTTGGCTTGTACTGTTTATCTAGGTAGTCCCAGGCAGCCACCAAGGTACTCCGCAAATTGGCGTGCTGGAAGTAAACAGCAGAAGCTGAGAAGCCGTATGCGCTGGTACGGGAGTTTTGGAAATATAGTGCCTATTATGATGGCTACTGCTTGAATAAGTGTTGAGTTGTATCGCTCGTACAGCGGCTTTAAAGCGGCATGCCAAATTGGGGGAGCCCATGCAATGATGTTTAGACTGTCATAGGTGGCCGTTGAAAAAATAAATATCTTGAATATTTCCAACCGATTCTGCGGATGGCACTAGCTGAATCCATGAAATTCATACGCCCGAAAGGACACTATAGCCCGGAATAAACGGAGTAAAGGTGTCACGAGGTTGTCCATGTGTTTTACAAAGTCAATAATCGGTATGCCCTGGGACAGTTGAAATTCTAAGTGTTCGGAAGGCTGCGGGTAGATGTCAGAGAATTCCGCCGCCATGGGCATGGGAGGGATACATGATGAGATATCCTTTGATAAGGAGAGGCGGTATCGTATGCAACATACTCAACAATCTGTTTGGGGGCATAAGAATCCCTTGTTTTTGACCGGACTGACGACCCCAATCATCGATCGCGTTCAGGAAGGGTTGCAACCGAACAGACTGCAGAGCCTGGATGCGCGTGTTATATCCAAAGAAGTAGGAGCGAAGGAATTTCGGCCGAAATTGCGCAAGCGTAATAGCTAGGGAGTCCAAATAAATTATATACAGCTATGGACCGACATTCGAACCTTGGAGTATGCCATTCATTCTATAGAATAGAGGTGAAAGTTTCCCACAATGCGTCACCCGTGTGGGGACATTCTCGAACAATGTACGGAGACAATTGATACAGGTTTCTGGCATTTCAACGTGGCGCAACAGTCTCCACACGCGCAGGAGGACCACTTTATCGGATGGTTTGGTATTGTCAAGGCACGCATTATTCCAGGCATCTTCGGATTGTGTCTCATATTCCATCACGGATAAGGCATGAGTATGAAAAGAGTAGCGTGATTTAAATCCAGCTTGAGTTGCATGGGTGGCTGATCCGGGGTGATTTGTTGTCAGCTGTGGGAAGCACTTTTCAAAAATGCGTTGAACAATCTGCGTTGAGGTTATCGGTCGAAAATCGGCAGGGGATGCAAAATCCGTGTCTTCTTTCTTCGGATGGGCTACCAAGAGAGTACAGTTAAGACCGTTAGCAAATGTACTAGCCATTAAGAAGGCAGAGAAAGCCTCAGCCAAGATGCTAAAAAGTGGGTTGTCAGGATCAAGGCGTCCCATAGTCGGGGGATTCAGTTGATCGTTCTACTGCGGTCTTAAGGAAAAAGAGATGGATATCATCTGAACCAGGGCCCTTGTTTAGATAGCGCAGTATTGCCTCCAACACCATCTCTGAGTAAATAACTGCATTAGATGGAGGGTTTGGTGCTGTGTTCGGTGGGATGACATCTGGGTTAGTTGAGTTGAAGAGATCTTGGTAGCGATCCGTTTAGTGCAGCACCCGAATTCTGAACACCTGGTATATAAGGCTGACGCGGTGATCGACGTTGATGTGCAATATCCTTGTACATCTAAATGTCGTGCTGGGCATCAAATCGCAGGCGGAACGTATATTCGGCAGTTGTTGTACCCACGGTTTGACAGGGTTCGCTGCGTAATGCCAAATCCGATCTGGTATACGCTCCAATCCGTTTATCGGTCCATGCATTGTCAGGTATGACCGTAACAGATGCTGATGCTATCGGATCTCTGCTTGAAACAACAGGGTGCGGGTCTTGTCGTGTAAATGATGCAGTCGGTGGCGATACCGGTTGTAGCCGTGGGATAAAAGACTCCAGTGCTGGGGTGGTGATTGAGACGGAGGCACTCGCCGAAGACGGATTATTGGTTCATTTGGGACCACCTGAAGATCGAAACCAAATTTGTGGTCCTCGTAGGTACCGTAATCAGAAAGAAGGTATGTTTAAAGAGAGGCTGGGGGTTTTGGCCAGTGGTACGCGTGCTCTGTACCGGTAGATCCACCCGTATGGAGGTATTGTAGGCGCCAGGCAACGAGAGTAGTGACCTCTACCGTCTTTTTTGCGAGGTCCATTGATCGTGACTGTGTGACCATACTGTCTAGCTTTGAAATTGAAATCACCCCGAACGACATATGGTTGGATGTTGCCAATATCAGAGGGATTCATGTAGTGTTCGACTTCTGCCTCCGTTCAGGAGTTGAGTGGGAGGTAGAATACAGCCATTTGGATACCTTAGCAGGAGAAGAAAACCGCACATGGTGATGAATGGATGAGGTGGAACTTTGATGGGTGATGCTTGGAAAATATTACAATACCCCAGTGTCATACAAGAGTCGGGAAATCTCTGATGGGGCAGTTGGGTTGCGTGCGAAGTCCTGAGTTGTGGGGTTGTTACGCTTTGATTGAAGTATCCTCTCGACAAGTACTGTATTGTTGATTTCCATGTCGACATCTGCATCACGTGCTTCTAGTTAATCTGCGGGAAACCGCTGATGGGGCAGCTAGGTTGCGTGCGGAGCCTGGGTTGTGGGGTTGCCACGATTTTATTGAAATGCCCTCTCAATGCGCTCGGTTGTAAATTTGAGCATCTCGATGTCTACTGATTCCGTCAAAGGGTTCAGGAGGATGTCAAGACTGCTGCCAATGATCTCAAGTCCCAAGCCTGTACCGCATCGGGCCTCGCGCTTGGTTCGAATATAATGTACAATCCGCTTTGGCTGAATCTGGGTGCTTATTGGATTGTGGATCAATATTGTCGTCAAGGCGCCACTTCCAAGAATCATTCGCAATTCGTTTCAAACCGGCTTCGACCTCAGAAGGACTACAGATTTGGATGATGCTGGTTGCTCGGCCTCGACGGTTGCGTTCGGGAATTGGGTTCGATGGCAGGTACCAGAGAAGATGGTGACGATCCAAGTTTGGGTGGGAGCGCCACACTTCTTCGAAGGTATAGCGTGAGGGAGGCTTGCCATTTGGAAATACTGATTTGATGAAGAGCCAGACAGGAGTTGTATCTGTCAATTCGTCTAGAGGGGTTTCCGGCAGCTGGCGACCCGTCATTTGTGACAGAAGTGCTTCAGAAGCTGCTGGGCGGGCTGTTACTTTTGGTATTGGAGGGGGATCGGAGTTTCGGATTTTTCTTCTTCCTTTTTTTTCGGACATAGACTTTTAGTACAGAGGGGGTCTGGTAATTTTTGATTTCC